ACATACAAGGAGGGCGTGGTCACAGACAAGGAGGGCATAGTCAGAGACAAGGAGGGCGTGGTCAGAGACAAGGGGGCAGGGTCAGGTCCTGGTAGGTTGCTGGGAGGGAGATCTTTACGCTGGGAGGTGGGGGGGCATTGGAGGGGGATCCTTACTGAGATCCATGGGTGCTTGAGGGCCTCAGAAGCAGTGATTCGCTTTGTCGGATTGATGGTCAGCATCTTGTTGATAAGGTCCTTGGCTTCGGGGGTGACGGTGTCCCATTCAGGAGAGGGGAACTGAAACGGGAGGAGAAGGAGTGAGTGGCGGGGGGGGGGGGCGAAACACTTCATACACACCTTCGGAAAAGTGAAGCACGACTGCTCACGTCATAAGCTCCGGCCTTGATCTGCTGATAGAGCCTGTGCTGGTCCTCGTCCCAGAAGGGGGGGTAGCCCACCAGCAGGATGTATAATATTACACCTGGTGGGGGAGATGGGGGTAGTTTGTCATTTTAACACGTATGCTTTATTGATAAGTGAGGATGCTGTATTGATCCTCACATAATGTAATGCATCTAGCTTATTAAAGAATTAGACCACTCATACTGTACTAAATCTGAGAAGGAACTGTCTTCAAAATCCCATACTAATAGTATCGGGGGTTTAGCTATAACTCCTAAATATCATCTTGGGCCTCCTGCAACTTTCAGTTTGAAGAAATCTTCCATGAGAGCAAGGGCGTAACTTTGGCTGGAACATTGGGGGGGTTGAGGTCTCCACCCATTACGGGGGAAACATGATTATTGGGGGGGTTGTATTAGCTGGTTTTGATTTATTGGGGGGCCTACAACCCCCCCATCCCCCCCATGCATGTGAGAATTTACAGAGCAGGGGTATAATGTTTCCTGAGCGTCAGTTATTATTTTGTGTTGAGGGCCCCCTTATAAAGTCCGGCCCCGCCTGACTCTGCAGGGTACCTATGCCCCTCAGATCCCGCTGAATAGTTTATATAACAGGTAATTTAATCCAATATGAAGTCTGTTCAGCATTTTTTTGGAGGAATTCAGTACATCAAGCTGGTAAGGAACATGGTTTTTGACTGTGAGGATACAAGAAGTCCTTGATGGTGAGGATACAGGAAGTCCATGTTCATTTGTAATCTTTGACAGTGAGGATACAGCAAGTCTGTGTTCATTTGTAGTCTTTGACTGTCAGGATACAGGCAGTAGATGTTCATTTGTAATCTTTGATGGTGAGGATACAGGAAGTCCGTGTTCATTTATAGTCTTTGACGGTGAGGATACAGGAAGTCCATGTTCATTTATAGTCTTTGACTGTGAGGATACAGGAAGTCCATGTTCATTTGTAGTCTTTGACTGTGAGGATACAGGAANTAGTCTTTGACTGTGAGGATACAGGAAGTCCATGTTCATTTGTAGTCTTTGACTGTGAGGATACAGGAAATCCATGTTCATTTATAGTCTTTGACTGTGAGGGTACAGGAAGTCCATGTTCATTTATAGTCTTTGACTGTGATGATATAGGAAGTCCATATTCATTTATAGTCTTTGACTGTGATGATATAGGAAGTCCATGTTCATTTATAGTCTTTGACTGTGAGGATACAGGAATACATACTGACGGAAGTCATGCTGGTTTGGGAGGGAGTTTGTCTACAGTTGTACAGGTGCTCTTCAGTCAGGGCAACACAGAGTGATTGGCTGCTCTCTTGCTGTCCGCCAGTGTTCTGCCAGGGGTGAGTCGACATTAGGTCCTTGCTTATTGTTTTCCAAAGGACTCTGTTTTGCATTTTTAGGGCCCATATATATAGCTTTGGACCTTCTGTCACTGGAATTTGGGGGAAGCTAAAAATACTCCGTTGGTCAGCAGAGAGGCATGTGGAATGCTGTCCTCATACAGCCAACATACACACACATCCCAAAGGAGCCCAGTACTATCTCTAAGAAAGTGCCAGCACTTTAGAACATAGAGGCATCACAAATTGTCCTGCCAGCTTTTAAAATCCCCAAGCACTGGATTACTCCACAGCAAATTCACTGTTAAAATTATACGTGATTCAGCGCTGAACTGTTAAAAATTTCCTGTTGGTTTTATGAACAACATCAAGTGTGAATTTATGTTAAGCTCCAAGAGACCCAACTTTGTCCTCGTTCATCAAGCGCGGATCACAAGCGCGGCTGACGAGCTGCTATGAGGCAAACGCGGCTGTGGCTTGGTCCCGAGCTTCTCTACCTCTCCTGGCAGGAAATGGTTTCTGAGCTTTATTGCCTTCTAAGTTTTATAAGCGTCAATCAAAAATATGGTACACTTTCAAAGTACATACATTAGTAAATGTTCTAGATTATTGAAGAATAAAGATATTTTTGTGAAAATCTATATACATTATATATATATGTATATAAAACATGCAAGAAGAGTGAAAGTGTTGCTTTTAACAGTTTTTTGCACAGAGCCTCTTAAATACAATTTCAAAGTGTGGATTTTGATGCCTGCAGCATTAATTCGTCTGTAGAGTTTAGAGTTTCACTAGCTACTGCTACAAATGGGGTGTTTTGGTATATTGGCTATGAATGATTTATGATTTAATGCAATCAAGTGCACCATAAGAACGGCTATAATAGTGTTACTGATCCCCTTTGTGTATATACTCGTTTTGTTTTAATAACTCTGAAGGCCTATTCAAACTGAACAGAAGACTGAGGTTTAATGATGCGTCCTCGTTGAAGTAGCTTCTGTTGAGCATTGTTCTAGCAAAACATTAATACTGCAGAGCAGTAAATAAATTCAGTTGCAGTTAGTGGATCACATGCATTTGTGTTTGGGCATCACTGATCTAGTTTATTTTCAAGTCGCATACTGTTCAGTGTCATGTTAGGAGCAATTACAGGCCGAAATGTGGTTGTAGAGAGAGTGAGAAATTACTCTCCAGTTATGCGGGTATTTGAATAGGCTTGGTCATGTGTCTCAAGTTAGCATGACTTCAGGTGAGTGACATAAATTGCGACAAGAGTCATGTAGTGTGAAGCCTTAACACGACGTCTCCTGGCTTCCACACTTAGGGTTATATCTCTGATCTCAGAAGCTCCTGGAGTTCCAATCCCACCAGGTAACGCTGGGCAGAGCACGGGGAGGGCGGTCAACATGCAGTAGAAGGTCGCCAAGGTGTTTGCAGTGGGTGAATGAACGGCACTAGCTGGTGTAAACAGTAGCCTGTCAGCTCAGTAATAATGTAATTTAATAAGGCTCACAGTAGGGGCATGAATTCCCTGACAGATTCAGGGGGCCCGACCCTTTACAGGGGCCCTTGAATATGTAAAACTATAAAATTATATAACGTATGGGGAGCCCAAGGTGACATTTTGTCAGGGGGCCAAGAATATCTAGCTACACTGGGCTATACATAAGACAAATAAAATGTATCAAAAAATGTAAACACACAGATATTTAATAACCAAATGGGCAATTAAAGACATATCAGTAATTCACTTCTCAGGAATGGGGACGCTAATCATCTTTAGTCCCATCTGTGTATAATCTGACCTTTTCATTGACGCACAGGGGCCAAACGGAATGAAGAAAAAACCTTCAGTCTGTCGTCCAGCATAAGGAAAATTACAGTGTAGGTGTTCTGCGTGGAGGGTTTCATTCCATTGAGAGGATGGAGGGGGTGTCAGTGAAGCGGGGCTCCAACTAGACTGTCTGTGACCCCCCCCCGCATTTACGGAGGCAACCATAGACCATGGACCCAGGGGCCAAACTTAGAAGTTCCAAACTAACAACTGGTATCCAGTGACTGCATTGCAGTGCTTATTTTAACAAAACACAAAAGCTTGTTTTTATACAAAACATTCAAAGGTTTAGCCTACAGCAAAATAAAACAATGCAGCCATTTCCTAAACATTCATTTTTAAGGATTGTGTTGAATGGGACAGATAGACTGCAGAAGACCACTGGGATGGACACTGCTGCCACTGTCAAGGGCAACGGCTGGATGGATCTCACAATAAGTCCATGTTTCCCAGGAGTGAAAGAGCAATGGAAGGATGGAAAATCCTACACACAGTAAGTCCAGTTGGGTAGACAATCTGGGCTGCAACGGAAGCCAAAATGGAGCAAGACTATGGCCATTGTTGTATGTATGATTACTGCAGGTTGTGTAGGTGGCTTTAGGACCCGAGGCTCATTAGCTGTCGCTCCTGGTGCTAACAGACAGAAGAACAGCAGGTGTCCCACACCGTGTCCCCTGCCATGTCCCATACCGTGTCCCCCGCTGCGTCCCCTGCTGCGTCCCACGCCACATCCCACGCCACGTCCCCCAC